TCTTCTATTTCCATCCAGTTTTTCTGGATCTCTGGCCACATCGGTAATTCACGGGAATGAGCTCGCTGACACCGCAGCTAAGTCCGTCTGCTCTGGTGCCATACATGGACTACGGTCCTGTCTTCAAGGTGCGGCTTCGTGCCAGTTGGCAGTCGCCTTGGAGTGAGCAATGCCATAACAAGCTTTTCTAGATCAAACCTTCTGTTGGTCTTTTGCCGTCTTGCTTCCTTAAGGATCGGAAGGAGGAAGTAGTCCTGGCAAGGCTACGCATGGGTCATAGTTTTTTAACCCATCGTTTTTTTTATCAGGTATTGACCCACTGATGTGTAGCCATTGTGACACTCAAGTCACAATAGCCCACATTTTACTGTCGTGTCGTCGTTACGACCGTGAGTGGCGGCACCATTTCAGACACATTTTTTGTAAAAGTTTGCCTCTGACGCTGGACAGTGTCATTAATAATGGTGACACTGTCCGATTAGATTGTATTTTTAATTTTTTACACACTATAGGTCTTTTTAATTCTATATAAATCTTTTATCGACATGTATTGGTTTTAACTCACTGTATTTTTACATTTTACTTTAATTTACTTTCAATGTTTATACCAGTTATTTGGTGCAGATAGCCTCGCTGCTTTGCGCCATAAAGCACCAACCAACAACCAACCAGTGAATATTCTTTTTTTTTTTTTTTAGTGAATATGAAAGAAGCATTGTGTAACATAGTAATTCCATTTTTTGACACTTTTCACATTTTACTGTTATTTAAATATTATTTTCACCTACTTTTAACAAAAACAATTTGGTGATTTGTCACATGGATCAACCAGTGGTTTCAACATTTCTTCATAAAACTTTTGATAGTTCTTATGTTATGGATTGTAATATTTATTTCATTAAATTCTTTTAAATGTTTATATATGGTTTATTTCAGATACGGACATTATGTACAAGGAACAGGCTCAGTTATCCATGCTGTCTCACATGATAAAGTAAGGCCCTTAATGGTTTGCTGGCTTTTTTAGGACACATCTATTAATATTAACTTCCAATCAAAGTAAAAAATCATTGTGGTAATGAGTATAGCTAATAAATATACTGCTAGTTACTCTTGCCGTAAATTTTTTTTGGTAAACCTAATAACAAATTATGAGGTTTGACTAGCCTATGAGATATAGGTTAGACCTATATCCAACGTTCATATACCAAGCTAATAATGCAAAATATTCTCTATACTAAAAAGAGATATAATAAACATTCTAACCAATACTTATGATAAGAGTAACATACTAAAATACATGATAAGAGATACATAGTAAGACAGAAGTGAGCTCAGTTGTTAAGCAAAATGTTTGACAAATTCAGATATTTGTTTTGACACTTGTAGTCAGGACTGTGATATCATACATGCATACACATATATGTGTACATGTATAAGTGTATGTACATCAGCACTCATGAAAACCATTGAAGTTCAGAAGAAATATGACATTAAGTACTACATGCATTATATGTAAAAAAAGATTTGGTTTTAATATGAAAGGCTGACTATATTCCTATGAGCACCCACAGAAATATATTTTTTTGGGGGAATTATCTTTTACAATGTATTTTGACGGACTGAAAAATTATCTGTTATGTTTGCTTAAATGGAAACATAAATTCTTACTCCTTCCTGTGGGCACCCATGTATATTCCAACAAAAAATCATTTAATGGTCTCAAACAATAACAAGATTTTTCTATTTTTAACCTTTTGAAATGCTAACTAAAGTTTTTTACTGGACACAGTTAGTACATGTATCCAAAATACATTTTTAATACACATTATTTGAGCTTATGGTTTCTTTAGGAGTTTCTTGTTCTAATGAAGCATTACTGAAAAGTTAAGGTGAAATAGAATGCAAGTGAACATATTTACTTTTGTAAAAATGGCAAATGTTTCTTTTAAGCTCTAGAATTATAACAATATTGGCAAACAGTATTGTATAACAAAAAAGATATACTGAATAAACTATTCAGAAAAATATTAATCAAGCTGTATAGCTGTATTCATACACATGTTCATGCACACTCAAGTATATAGAATTTTTAACATTAAAATGTAAAGTGTAATGAAGATTAAATAAACAGTAATAATGATATAAAAAATAGTTTGTACTTTTACAAAGGTCAACGTATATATATCCATAAATTTTTGATTGTTTTTGCTGGATTAAAATTGATTCATTCTAAGAAACTGCATCCCAGTGCTAAGACTTTTATGTTCTCAATTTATGGTAGGCCATTTTTTTATCATAATATCCTGGAATGATTTTAGTTCTGAATATGTTATGCAGTGGCTGACTTTTTCCTCATATATGAGCACATGAATAGTTTTTAAGTTGCCTGGCATTTAAATGATGTTTTTTTATTTTTGCATTCTTTTATCTCATTTTTTATATATAGACTTTGTTATTAATGTGTTAAAAAATATGCCTGATTTCTAGATCAACTTAATAGGTAGGCATGATTTTCTGATGCACATCATAAGTGTCACGGGGATTTGTCACATACGGTAAAACCCATAAACTAGATTAAATATTTAATAACTAAATATGTGCAAGCAAAGTGCAGCCCAATGGTTAACACAGCACACTTTGGATCTAATATTACATGGTTTGTGTCCCATTACCACAAAAGAAAATTGTGCTTCAGTTTTTGAGACCATGAGTGTATTGTTAGAGTGATGGTTGTAGCAATCAGACTGAATTCACATTTCAAATTTAGCAGTATACAGTACTCATATGATATGACCAGCATCCTACCATTTTCAGACAGTCTCTTGCACAGAAAACGTACAGTTTGATTTCTTTCTAACTGTATTAAAAGGTTGATTTATATATATTGGTTAGGATATACTCAAAAGGCTTTGCATAAGTGGGTATTATGTATATTATTAGTGGCCATGCTGATATTAGTGGGTAGTAATAAGAATTATCAAGTTATGAAATACTTTGCAGTGTCTACAAATGATATTATGAACCACAACAGTGGTTCCTAATAGTGATCACCCAGGAATTTCACAAAAATTCTAGTAGAACATACAGGCAAAAACTATCTTAAAAGCAGATTTGTTCTTGAAACAACACTCAAGACCTATCTCAATGGGTAAGGCTGCTAAAATATTTATAATAGTGAAAACTTGATTTTCCCATTGTTAGACAAAAATCAAAATTCATTCATTTGTTCTTCATATTATTTTTGGTTCACAAGCCTACAGAATAAATGGGTATGAATATTTTATTCAAACCTTTGCAGGTTATAGGACTATATTTATGTTGATTCTTGAAAGAGGAGAATTTTATGAGCTTTTTCATCACTACTGGTTAAGTTTCTCTTTGAATGCCATTCAAGCACCGAAGCCTAGAGCAAAAATGGTTAGGTATATTGCACCAAACTCTATGCACAACTACTGAACAAGGTCCTGTGAAGATTGTAGGGCTATTTCTATCCTGATTCTTGAAAGTAGAGATTTTCATCCTCGTAAAATTTTCTAAGTTCTTATCTACCAACATTTACTCTTTGAAGCCATTCAAGCATCACAGAAATGTAGAAGCCATTTAAGCATCATTATACTAATCAGAAATGCTTTTTTTATTAGAGTAAACTATGTGTATAGTTATAACAGTGTCTCCAGCCTTATTATTATTGATTATAGTTTTTTAATCCATTACAGAAAAAATGGCTACAAATATTTTACGGAAATCTGGACAATACTAATGAATGCAGTATTGAGTATGTCATAGGGTAGTTTTAAAATTAGTTCAAGCACTTTTTTTTTTACCTGAGGAATTTCTCCAAGTCCGTCACTTTCTGCCATTGGAAAAATCTGGTGTTTAACTAATGTGCATTAATTGGAAACTATCATGTTGAGGATTCATCACTTCTAAAATTTGCTGTTTTTCAAGTTTGCTGTTGTACTTTGTCTCTACATAGTTTTCTGAGACTATTTCAGTGAGTTTTCTAACAGTAGACGATTACCATAGTAGATTTCTCTACTCTTGCAAGTGGTGATTTATTCTACTCATTTTCTTACTTCAATGAAATTGTGAGTGGAAATTTGAGTATTATTTTATTATTATCATTATTATTCATATTTTTGTTTGACAAGCCTATAGTAAAATTGGCTTGGTATTTTGCACCAAAACCTAGACAGATATACTATTTGAAATGCTTTGAATGTCCATAACCAATTTAAAAAGTTGATTATTTTCACTGAAAGTTGATTTGTGTGGCTATAAATCAAGAGTTATTGATTGTGGGGTCAAAATAGGGATTTGTAGCTTGAAAAGATAGTGTAGATACTATTTCCAGCCTAGTTTGTTTACTTTTTCAGAGTGCCTAGTTGTAGGCTTGAAAATATAATCTTTGCATTTTGATTCAACTTGTTTCTGTTTTTTTTTCATGATCCCTATTCCTCTTTTCAAATTAACAATTTTAATTATTTTGTTAATATAAATAGTTTTTAAGCACAAGTTAAGTGAAAAACACTAACTAATTAAAATCAATTTACCAAATATACAGTTAACTACCAACTAGTTTTAACATACATTATTTTCAAGCATACCTTTGAAAATAGAATAATATTCCAAAAAATATACTCCATTATTGATTATGTATAAATAGGCTGTGGTTGCAATACAGCCTTCATGAGGCTGAAGGATAGTTCTATCATAAGATTTGAGGAGGCTTTAGTCATCCCAATTTTTTTAAGCCTATTGCACAGATTTTGAAGGAAGCTGGCACATCCAAGAGGTGACAGTTGTATAATAAATTTTTTTTGCCTACTTCTACGCATAGCTTTATTGATAGTTATAATTACTGGCTAGTAAGAAACCAGTCTTTTTTTTTTTACATCTCTGGTAATTTGTAACAGTTGTAAGTTTCTAATGTCACTACTAATAACTGATGAGAGAGCACTAGTTTTATATATTAACCCTTTTTTATACTGTGAAAATTCTATGTTTTAAAGTCTGAATGACATCACTTCAGTACAAAGCTTGTATCAGTACAAATGTCCACCTAAAGTATAAAGTATTAAACCTTTTTAAACAGCTTAAGGTCTGACAGTTATTATGAAAGCAGTTATTTCACTATGTGATTAGGTATACCTGACAAGTGCATACTTTGAACACCATGAAAACTTTTAAAATCCACCAAAATTAGTGTAATTTAGTGTAAAAAGAGCTAAGATGTCAGTGACAGCCAATACACTCAAAAACTAGGATCTGAAAGAATTTTGTGATTGTATCATCTCAATTTTATACAACATTGTTTGAAAGGTGAGATTATTTACTGGATCATTTTCTTTAGATTCTTTACTCTATGATTGGTGTGAAAAAATTCATCATACTGTAGATGAGTAAGCATTATGGGTCTTGCAAAGCATCTTAGTTTGCACACCAGCAAATATGTGCTTCCATGCCTGATATATGGTAATTTTGAGTAAGCACTGTTTTTGAAAGTATAGATACTCCAATGCAATGCTGCAGTGAAAAAAATCATGTCTGTTGGTTTGGAGTTTTAATGATATGCATCTTGATGTTATTAGGTTTGGGGGGGGGGGCTTTATCAGTGCCAAATCATTGGGAACTCTGAATCCTCCAGCAGAAAGAAAAAAAAAGGTACATTAGTAGAAGAAAAATATTTCCTAAAAATAAATAAGCATTGTAATAACTTGTAAACTCAATTAATCATGTGTTGGTTGCAAGGATATAATCAGTCAAATCTGTCTCAAAACTGTAATGAGCCATTATTTTCAGTACATCACAGAACCATTACCAACACCTGCTTAACTTTGTAGTTTGGCCTTTTTTTTTTTGATACATGTTGTACAGCCCTCCCATGTTACCTCAGTGGAATCCATTCTTGTCAGCATTAACATTTCAGCAAGTTTTAATTTTATCATTAGCTGCTTTCATTGTTTCCCAAGTACAGTCATATGTAATCTCAATGGTGTTAATTATTGTGTCTGCATATTCTGTATAAGACTGCTGACTGACTATCCTCCAAATCCAAGTACAGAAGTTCCAATGTCACTTTAAGTTCACTTGCAGCCATCACGGATGCTGGTTTGTTGCCTGGAGCTTTGTGATGATTGTTTCACTATTACCATCAGTGGATCCATATAGCTTTTAATGCATTTGAATACACTTTACATGAACCTATGTGAACTTTAGACAAGTAAGTAAGGTGGGTCTTGTGGCTTGCATCTGATGGGAAAACCATGTGAAGTTAGTTTCTGTACTATAATGTGTGCAGCAGAAATCAAGGAAATGATGCAGAAGCTTTTCTGAAATCTAGGATAAAATGTCAGCAGCATGTATTTTAGGGTAAAGAGACAAAACTGATTTGTGTTTTTAGGGCAGCCATGTACTTTAGGGACTTGGTGAAATTGTATGTTTTTTAGTTTATTCATTTAAAAGTGCATTGCATTATCTTTCAAGTTTTTGATAAGGCTTCTGTTTAATTTTGAAAATTTTTCTAAAGAACATTTAAATCTTCACTAAATATGAAACTCTCTTTTTAAAACTACAAAACCTTTACTTCTGTCTGATAATATACTTGTCTTCCTTTAACTCATTCAAAGCTTTTATCTCCAGAAACAATATATCGGTTTTCACTGAATAATTATAAAATTTACTTAAAAGTGTTTGCAACATGTTTAGAAAACCTGAATCTTGTTTGTGTTATATTTCAGTAGGTTTCTGATGGTTCCAACCACTTAGAAATACAAAGTATACAAAATTATGTACCAGAAACTAAAATTGGCACATCCAATCTTTATGATTTGCTGAGATATCAACAAATCTGTCAAACCTACCAGAGAGGCCTCCTCTCCATCTCTTACTTTCGAGATTTTGTGTTAATCAACTTTACATGGCGGAAAGATATGTTTATAACAATAGAAAGAACAGATTTTTCTCTATGTGAAGCTTAGTGTGTTTTGTTGGTGAAGAAAGTAATCAGTTGGTAGGAAGTTTCTTGGTTTGTAATGAGTTTGCCATCACATGCTGTTTATATTACAGTTTTACAGAAACAGCTAATGGCTTCTACTGTGATTTATTGTTTTGTGGATGTGATGATTACTGCTCCAGTGGGTACAAAGTACTGCAATAAATCCATAAAAGAAAACGTGATAAAAGGTTAACAGTTGAAACCATTATTTTACAACTGTACATTAATGATTTCTATAAAGACCTGAGAATCTCATATACTGTTAATGTCATGGTAAAGAAAAGAAGAGAAAAAATACAAACTTTTACCAAGAAAACCAATGTATGTTAATTTAGGACCTTCTACAACTGTAAGATGAAGTATTTAAATTCTTAGTATGAAAATCGACTTTCATTCAGGTTGAATCAGTAAATGCTTCAGAAATTTATAGACAAGTCTTAAGTAGAATTATTTTGTCAAAAAATATGATTTTTGTGTACAACAGACTTTTAAAGCATGCCAAATTTCTTGAACATACGCTTAATAAATTTAGAGTTCTGTATAGCTTATCAGACACTATCTTTGTATGCTGGACCAATGATTCCTTTAAGGTTAAAGAGACCTTAAAATCTTAACCAAATAATGCATTTTCTTACTGTACATTGGTGACAGATTTTCTTGTAGGCAGATTTTGTTAAACAAGACCGATGTCTGTAGGTTTACTTTCTTCTTAGAATTCTTCTCAAGAAGTCGATAAGCCGTCTTAACGTTGTTAGAACAATGGGTAAAAGTTGTAGCTAGTGATGAGCTACAACTTTTACCCGTTGTTCTAACAACGTTAAGACGGCTTATCGACTTCTTGAGAAGAATTCTAAGAAGAAAGTAAACCTACAGACATCGGTCTTGTTTAACAAAATCTGCTTACTGTACATTGTAAATTAAAAGAGTCAATTTTGAATAAGAAAAAATAACCAACAAAAACAAAAGCTTTGTAAATAGGTGTTTTAATCATATGATGTTGATTACTTCTTTGTTTATTTTCTGTGTATATATATTATATTTTTAACATCAAAGGTTTGTGTGTGAGTACATGTATATATGTATACATTTCTGTGTCTCTAAACGTGTACGCTAATATAAGTAGGTATTTTTACAACTTATATGTTGTTCAAATGTCTCTTCAGGGTAATGTATTTATCTTTAATACATTATAACTCACAAATATTTTGTAATAACAGAAGTTCAAAGTATGTTAAGTGTTTTATGTTGTTAATATTTGATACCTTACAAATTATATTCTGGAGGTAGAAGATACATATTTATTGTAATAGGTTGCTCATTTCATGAAAAAGAAAAATCAAAGAAAAGACTGTACTGTTTTTCACTTATCCATTGTGTTCTATTTTTTATTACCTTTACTTTTGTGTCATAGTGGATAAAAATATTATCAGAGAAAAATATTTTTTATGCTTGTGTGTCTGTATGATCTTATCAAGTTTAACCTAGCTTTAAAATGGGCCAAGCACAGCCCAGTGATTAATGTGCCATATTGTGGAGCTGAAGTTCTGTGATTTAAATACAATTAATCAAAACTATTTTTTGAGGATTTGTTGTAACAATTTTTGTTTAAAAGTTTATAGAGGTGTACAAAACTGTGTCTTTACTAAACAAGGAGCATCCACAGACAGTAGAACTTCTTAAGCAGCTGAAACTGAGATACTTTACACCAAGAGAAGTGGCTAACTTACTTCATTTTCCTTCCATGTTCAGTAAGTTAAATATGTTATTACATATGTGCTAGTGGCTTGGCCTTTTCCAAGTATTTAGTTTTTTAAAGTAAACTTTAATTTTTAATCTACCTGAACATATAATAGAGTATAGATATGGATGAAGGTGAACTTCTTTACCTTAAATCTAAATACATTTAGATGAGAAGGCAGTCTAAATTGTTCCTGTTTTTAAACTGCATGAATGGAATGCAAAATTCTATAGCATCAATTTTTTTCTTACCTAATATGAATTCCTTTTGAAGAATTAAAATTAATTTAATCTATTTTTTTCTTCTTCAGGTTTTCCAAGTCACTTGAAGAAAAAACAACTCTATCAAATTCTAGGTAACAGTATTAATGTTTATGTTGTTTGTGAGCTCCTTAAGTTGTTGCTGCAGTAAATGTTGCTTCAGAAATTATTTAATTTTGCATTTACATATGCACATACTTACAAGATTAGCTTGGGCTGTAAATAGTTTTTGATCTGTCTATTTGTGGTTATTCAATGAGTAAAAATGTGAAACTGTTAGTTGTCTATTTCACACCATACCTGTCTTTTGACACACAAGTCACATGATGAAAAACATTGAAGATGGATTATATAAACAATTTGGAGAGGGTTTTATTTCATAACTTTAAAGGGAAAAATACTTTACTGTATTTGTCAACAATTTGGACAAAAAATATATACTGTAGTTTTCAATGTGTTTGTTAAACAGGTGGCATTAACTTCATGTTAGATGTATACAACTATTTTTATTATGTTTTAAAATTGTGTAAGTAAATACAGTATTTTATATGTGTGCTCTTTTGAATTGTTTTTTACTCACCACAGTAAACCTGCATTATATAGGCTTTGAAGAATATGTAGTAATGATGCTACTAATTTATTCTTCTGAATTTATTCAATGAATAATAAGTGATGAATGAAATGATAAATTGGGCTTCATATTTATTGTTAGTATGCTAAATACAATATTTATTTCACTTCAGTACTTCCTAAAATGAAAAACCACTTTCAGTAGTTTCACTACTATTATATGTTTAAAGTGATATTCCTTCATTTTTTTTTATAATTATCTTAATATTTTACTACTTTTTAATCTTTGATTTAGTTGAGCTGTGTCTTGTTTTTGTTTATGCATGATCCCAGCTCACACACTGTTAGATTTAATTTTAGCATTACTCTCATAGTGAGACAAAATGATGGGCATTAGGTAGTGCTAAAGTCTTTGACACTGTAACTATGGTCATATATAAATCAGTCTGTCTGTTTATATAAGTTAAACTTGGAGTTTTAGATTGCATATTACTTGAAACTTGGTTAAGGCTTATACATTTTATGATAATTTTTTTAAGTTTTTTTTTTTTTTCGTCTTCTTTTTTTTTTTTTTTTACAACTTTTTGTGTCAAGGTTACATTATGAGTTAGAAGATTGAAAATCAATTGTATTGTTTGTTAAAGTCTGGGCCCTGCATTTTGGAATTATAAATATATGCTGTTGAACTCATACAAGACTTAATAAATACTCTGTTTCTTTTTTAACATTTTGTTCTTCTTAATGTAGAAAAAAAGATATGTTACATTGGCTCCCAAGTAGGAACTGTTCTTTGGTTAGGGTTGTGATAGTTTATTAAACAAGTGTTAGTGGAGGTGAGTATTGAATTAGTAGGGTTTATCCTTTCAATACTGTTAATGGCACTTGTGGTATTGAGGAAAAGAATGAACCTCATATTGAACACAGTAATTTGTTGGTCTTTTATCTTAGATATATAGCACTGTGACAATTATATCCATTTCTACTCATAACTGTTATACAATGCTAAGTGTTGAATGCTGTATGCTGCTTAAAAACTGTAATACAAAATAATATCTAATTAAGCCTAAACTCTCAGTTAGCTTTAAAATGTATCACTGTTTCACCACAAATAACATTAAAACAAAAATGTAAAACTTATCAATAAAAAAATATGCACAATTGCCCAAAATAAATTTTACACAGTGTAAAAAATATTTACATCTCATCAGATTGAAAACTTTAAGCATAATGACTATAATTGTCGAACAGTACTGTCACCTAGTGGATTAAAATATATACATGAAAAAACTCAAAATACATGCATAATTCTGGATGATGTCAAAACACAATCAAACCTTAAGTAATGGTTATGGATATGGATAGTTTAATATAAGTGGTGGTTGAGGTGAGTATTCAATAAACAGGGTTTATCTTTTTTGTTAGTGGTAGTATTTGTTGAATATAATTGATAGTTGAGGTGAGTACTCAATCAACAGGGTTTATCCTTTGGTTATGGAAAAAACTGTTGCTAATTCCGATAAGGTACTCCCCCTCTGCTCACAAGAGTAGCTTTTTTCATTTTGTGCTGCCCTCTATATGCAAACTTTTTCAGAAACGCATGCCACAAGTCTTCATCCTCCCTTCATTGGAATCCACAGTTCCAATACGTCTCTCATGCAAGTCATCATGCATCACATCAACACCAGTAAGAGAGCACTACTATCACATGACGCATGTTACTCCCTCTTTACGCCACTACTGAACTATCATTTCTCGTTTGGCTGCTTTCAAGTTAAATTTTCTTTTTTACATTGTTCGATTACCTTTTATTTTTAGGTTAATTTTTTTTCATTATTAGAATTTGTTAATTTTATTTACTACACTTCACAGTTCTGGAGTTAATATTTTAATAAAGCATTACTTCCTCGTGTTTCCAGCTTATGAATTACGAAGTTACAGTCATCACCTCGGGTACCTCACCAGCGTCTGATGCTGTATTTGCAGCCACAGGCGTGTGCGACCTGTTGGGGGATATATCGTCGCTTATTTTCCAGGAGATTGAGCAGTATATGAGCCAACCTATCTCTACTACTTCTGCACCACTTTCTCCTGAGCCTTTCAAGCCGGGTAGGACTGAAGACGATTTTGATCGTTTGTCCCCCCCCCCCCTCCCATTCACTACCATCATTGGTCTTTTCAGTTATGTGATGTTTTGCCTCTTACACCTGTTTCCTGTTACCCTAGACCTACCCTCTTACATGAAACAACTTCCCACCCCAGTTTAGTATTTCCCCTGTCCCCCAATATTAGGGTTCACACGGACCTATTTGCCTCTCAACTGGGGGAGGGTGTTAGTATGCTACTCTCCCATGGAGTTTGGATCAGTCTGCCCTTGTTTATCATCAGGCAGACTTTCCCTGTTTCAACCTCACGACCCTGTTAAGATACCTTTCTTCCCTTCACGTTCTGTCAGAGGCTCTTCACAGGAACCCTGAGGGGTTTTCTGCTGAAATCCTCTCCATCTTTACTTCTACGTTGGTTCGTCTGTTGTCCTTAGCTCTTGTACTTCAAATGTGGTTTGTCTGTTGTTGGGACCTCTTGAACCGTGATGCATTTTGGTGTGGACCTGTCTCCAAGCTCCTTATCTGAGGGACCTTCACATGGCATCATTTTTGCAGCGTTATGTGTTTGTCTTGGTCCCTGAGTCTTTGGAGTTGTGGGTGGCCTCAACCCATCAGCATTCTACTCTTACTAACTTGGTAGCTCATTTGTTGCAGACAGGACTGAGTGTGGCACCATTTCCTGTCCTCCAACTTTCCCCTTCCCAACTCTTCCTCTCCTACACTCCTGCGGTGTCACGGTTCGACAATTTACTTGACAACGCACAATCCACCAACAGAAGTACCAGTGACTATGCAGTCAGTTCGGGTCCAGTGGGGGCTTGTCTCTTTAATTTCTTTCATCTGTGGAAACCTTTTCTCACAGATGTTTGGGTTCACAAGGTGCTCTCGGAGGGAAACGTTATCCCCTTTCTCTCCCTTCATCCATTATCCAGTGTTCACTGCCCTTCTCCTTGGGATCCCTTGACACACCAGTGTATGTCAGAGGTGGTTCCGAACCTCATTGCACAACAGGTTATCGAACCAGCTCCACCAAGTTTATGGAGATTTTATTTCCACTTGTTTGTGGTTCCCAAGAATATCAGGGACTAGGGTCCTGTCACCCACCTATCCCATCTAAATAGGTATGTTCACATTCCTCACCTTACCATAGAGACATACCTTTTTCTTCAATAGGCATTTTCTCATGGTCTTTGGATGAACAAGGTGGACATTTCCAATGCTTACCTACACATTCCTGTGGCAGAGCATTCCTGTCCATATCTATGGTTTATCCAAATGGGGGGTTGTGTACCAGTTTTACACCTTACTTTTCGGCCTAGCCTCAGCTCCTTTGCTTAACATATTCAAACCATGGGGTTGCCCTTCCATGCTAATGTGGACGACTGGCTTCTTCTTGCTCATTCCAAACAGATGATCTCCATTGGTGGTTGAACAAGGCCCACACATCGGTTGGGGGTCCTGCTTCCTCTTCAGCTGCCAGATTTACATCTGTTCACAGATGCATCCCTTCAGGGCTGGTGTGTCTGGGTGGATCACCAGGAGGTTTTGGGTCATTGGTCTGTGGAGGAGAGTTCTCTTCACATTAATGTTCTCTAACTCCTGGCTATTCATAGGACTTTAGATCACTTTCTTTCTCTTGCCAGCCACAGGCTGGTTATGATCCATTCTGCCAACTCTACCTCGGTGGCTTATATCAAGGTGGCACCAGGTCCAGATCCCTATGTTTTTGCACTATGGATCTTCTTTATTGGGCCCACACAGTTTCAGGTTGTCCATCTTCCCCCTCTCAACTTGTTTTCTGTTTTATGGGTTGCAGAAGGTGTGTGTGACCTGTTTTTGCTTCTGTTTTGGATTTTCCCGTATTTGGTGATGAGGTTGTTACTGACCTAGGGTTATTTTAGGCTGGTTTCACAGTCATAGGGGTTGAGTGCATGTGATGGACTTCTGTTGAATTCCATTTGACACATTCCTGGATCCCTGGCATTAGGCTACCCTGTGAGTTCCTAGATTAGAATATTAGGTTCCCTCTTGATTCTGGGATTTGAGATGAAGATGGTATGATCCTCATCCTACCCTCGTGAGGATGTCAGTACCCTGCGAGTAAGGTTTTGGATGCAGTTAACTTACCGAGTACAGTCCATTGCACCCTAGCCATTCTACACTATGGGACACATCCTCACTTCCATCATGGGATTGAGTGATTCTGATTTCTGTTTAAAATCACATTGCTAAACTATCCTCTCCCACACAGATGTGCTCCCTTTAATGTTCTGCCATGTATGATCCTCCTTATCATGTCAGTGTTCATGGCGAAGAGATACCTGGCTCAGATGTGGTGCGGTACCCCTCCTAAGATCATCTGATCTGTGCCTCTCATTTCGTGGGTGTCCTCCAGATGCTTCTGGGGGATATGCCTATGCTTCTCTCATACTGGTTTCTCCTACATTTCAATGTGGGATTCAAGCTAATCTTGTGAGGGGAGGGAGAGTACCTTATCAGAAGTAATAATTTTCTTGAGTGAAAATGTATTTCCTATAGGTACTTCCCTCTTCTTACACTTCCCACTCATCCTCCCCACAATCTTCTGCCAAACTTCAAAGTGATAGTTTGGTAGTGGTGCATAGAGGGAGTAACATACATCACGTGATAGTAGTGCTCTCCTGTTGGTGGAGAGGTGACACATGGTGATTTGCATAAGAGACATGTTGAAACTACGGAGAGAGGATGAAGGCTTATGGCATGCATTTCTAAAAAGTTTGCTTATAGAAAGTAGCACAAAACAAGAAAAGCTAATCTTGTGAGTGGAGAGAAGTACCTATTGGAAATACATTTTCATTTAGGAAAATTATATCTTTAATATATCGTTGCTACTCTCATACAGCCTTGGTGCTTACTTTTGCTTTAGAAATGTATGGAACACAAGTAGGCTGCTCAGAAGTTGTTGAGAATGTCACTATATTATCTCTCTATACTCTCCAACAAACACTTTATTCTTTCTAGAACTTTAATCATGAGGCATCAAAAATTATCTGGCATTTTTTAATCAAAAAGGCATAATTTTAAATGGAAAGAAGCTGTAATTTATAATAAATGCAATTTTCTGTATATCTTCAGGTTTTACAGGAATTGGCTAGGAACCAGATATATTTTGCATTTATCAGGTAACTAACAATTGGTAATAGTAAAGTGTCTTTCTGAAGTTACTTTATAGTTCTTTAGTCCACATAAAATCTGAAGTCACCAGTTTTTCTTCTTTACTATTACTTCTGTTGATTACTATGATGAATTTGATGATCCAATTAAGTTATCATTAACCATTTCATGTACTTGTTTCTTAATTACCTTCAGTTTCACTGGAGGATAACAATATGGCACCTTTTTCAGTGATGGTATCAGTGTTATGTTTAGCCAGCTTAGTCCATCTTAGCTTATTGTTAACAATATTAGAATATTTTAATAGTAAGTTCTTTAAATTTCTGACTTTCATTAACTTTCAGATCAGATAATTTTACTTTCTAAAAGTATACTTTCGTTAAATAGGACTATCATGAAGAATATTCATATCAGTGGTATTTTATACAAAATCATATAGTCTGAACAAAAAATGGTAATGCAATAATTTTCTAAACCAGAAGCAGTTGTTGCATAGTGTGTTTCATACAGTCAATTCAGCATTTAAATTTCCAAACATTTGTAGTTAGTTGATCCAATGACAAGAAACATTTTTCCTATTTGCTATTTTAGTAATTGAAAATTTGAATTTCTCTCCTTGGTTTCTAACAATTTTTTAGTTCACCACAGTCAGATCCAGTAACTACAGTCTCTTTAGATCCACACCATTTTACTACAGTATTTGGCACATCCATTTTTATAGTTGTTAAATATAACAAGGAGTGTATCTTTTAGTGGGTTCAATATCACCTTTGATCTGTTTGTTGTTTCCTAGCCATCTATTACTTTTTGTCTTTACTTTCAACATTTTAATTCTTCAGACAGCTTACAGAAATATGTCTGGATTCACTAAATGCATAGTATGTAAATTTCCATTGGGATCTACATACTTCTGAATTATAATTTCCATATCAGTATTTTTATTGTTTCATTAATTTTAGAACAACTCTAGTAGAACTAGCATGATGCAGTTCTAAATATTCTCTTAGCAGTATATGTAAATTGAAGAATACTACATTTCACTGTTTCTTGTTCATTATCTTGAGAGTTTCATTTTCTATAAGCAAACTGTTCAAATAAATAAATGTTCAAAAGCAGGGACCAAAGCTGCTAATCTTGAAGATTTCATAACCTTTCTGTTCACATCTCTAAGGTTTGGCATGGCCAGATGGTTAAGGTGCTCGACTCGCAATCTGTGAGTCACAGGTTTGAATCCCCATCCCATCAAACATGCTTGCCCTTTCAGCTGTGGGGGCATTATATGTGACATTCAATCCCACTATTCATTGGTAAAAGAGTAGCCCAAGAGTTGGAAGTGGGTGGTGATGATTAGCTGCCTTCCATCTAGTCTTTCACAGCTAAATTAGGGATGGCTAGTGCAGATAGCCCTCGTGTAGTTTTGCACGAAATTCCAAAAAACAAACAAACACATCTCCAACCTGCCTTCTGATAAGTAAAATCATGTTTTATTTCACAAATAATTCTAGAATTGCGTTCTTTTAGTTCACATAAAACTGATAACAGTACAATCAAATTTAGTTAATACAAAGATTGTGAATTACTACTTCAGAAATAATATGGAGATAAAACATTAAGTAATATCTGCCAAAATTTAAAAGTTGTTCAAACATATCTCTAAATTTCAACTACTAAAAACAGTGGTTATGCTATGTTTTATTTCATTTTTCACAAAATACGATTATATCATCTTTTCACCTTTTAACCCTTTCACTACCGAATTTTCCAATGAAAAGTTGTCTACAGTGCTGAAATTTCTGGTGAAACATGCCTATTTTGAAATGCGTCATTTTAAAATCCCAAAATCACCCTAAAATGCACATATGTGCACTGCAAATGTTAGAAAAGAACATTAAAACAATAAACACAACATGTAGTTTTTACCTTTTTTCTTCTAATGTCTGAAATGCTTGACTGAGTGGTACTTCGTGAAGCAGTCCAGAAGACACATGGGCAGGCCATGCCCCTCCCATCCTTGCAATTCATGCATCCATGTCTGGTTTGCTTCCTCTTTGGATGTGAAGGGCTTTCACTGAACACTACACAGTTAGGCTTGTATTTAGGATCTGAATAAGCCATTGGAAAGTAATTCCCTGTCAGTTGCTCCTCCTATCCTCTGGGTTATCTATTGATCTCCTCCCTTTCCTTCCAAATTTATTCAGAGGAATAGAAGCATAGAGAAATGCCTTTGTGGCTCCATTTTTGAATTAGGGTTGGCAGTTGTGTACAGTATGTAGGAGTTGACTCATGCTGCCTCTCTGATGAAGTGATAAATTGCATGGTACCACTTTTTGCATTTGTGTTCATATGGGTAGATGGTATATTTCTGGTCAAACAAGTCAACTCATTCCATTGAACCATTGTAATTGCAGGCCACATTTGGCTTTTTCACATCCCTAAATCCAGTCTCTGCCTGCTTGGATTGAATTTGTTTCCAAGCATAGCCAATAGTATCGATTGTTGAGAGGAAGTTGATCCTTGCTGAGTTATGCCAGGAGCAGACAAGCATATCACCCTTTCTGTAATAAACAAGATCATCACCTTTCTTCAGCTGTAACCTTGCTGGTCTAATTTCTTCTGGAAGTCCCTTTCTATTCAATCTCACAGTTCCACAGGCACCAGTACCCTGTTCCTTGAGAGCTTCAAGAAGACCAGGACTGGAGTATAAGTTATCAACATGTAAATGGTGGCCAAGGTTCAAGTATCCATTATTGTCCATCAATTTTATAACAACATTATGACCCAAGCCTTGGTCTGGTGCCACAGGGTTGTTGTCTCTACCAGTATAAACATCCCACTCTAACAGATAACCTGACTTGCTCTCACACAATGACCACAGTTTTATACCCCACCTTGTGGGTTTGTTCAGTATGTACTGATGAAAGTATATCCATCCCTTGAACTTCCTCATTGATTCATCAATTGTAAGTTCACGACATGGAATGTAATACTGCGTATACAGTGGCTTCACAATGTTCATGAGGGGAGCAATTTTATACAAAGGATCATATCCTTCCTCCCCACATGGAACCCTTTGAAAATTTTTACAAAAGTGAAGAAACAAACTGATCAGCTGGTAACGATTGGATGGCAGTACATTTCGATAACTAGGGGCCTGGGCTATACCCCCAGTTGCCCAGTAGTCACTAATCCGTGGCTTGGAACACAATCCCTTCATTATCTGCAAGTCGACATAGGCTTTGATTTCATCTGTACAATTCTACAGTGGTGGCTTATCTCAATCACAAAAGCAGCACCCATTCTTATTCCCTTTGTGGTCAGACATTGGATCTTCTTTTTTGGGCCCACACACTCATTATTCATATCATTGCGTGTCATGTTCTGTGTGCATTCAATCTTGTTGCTGATCGGCCTTCCTGTCCAGACAAAGTTAATCTGATGGGGTGTTCTCTCAATCCTCTCGTTTTCCAATGGCTATGCTGTTAGTGGGGTACTCCTCACCTGAATGCATTTGCCACAATACTAAATTACCTCTGTTTTGGTCTCAGGTTCCTCATCCTCTTGCTCTGACTGTTGATGACTTCAGTCAAGATTGGACCAACCAATACCTGTATGTTTATCCTCTCATCCATCTGCTTCACAAGGTGATCTCAATTATCCGTGCCACTCCATGTCAAGTCCTTCTGGTTGCTCCTTACTGGCCAGCATAACTGTGGTTCCCACAGCTGCTACAGCTCCAATCTGCTCCTGCATTACTTCATCCTCTTACTCCATCCCTTCTACATCAACCTCAGCATTTCATCCAGCCCTTCCTATCCTTTGACTTCATGCCTAGTTTCTATCTGGTCTCTGGCAAGTATTTCTGGTTTGTCCCAAAAGGTAGCTTTTTTTTTAGCTTGTTCCATTTGCCCTTCCTCTAGGGATGTTTATCAACATAAGTGGAACATTTTCTGCTATTGGTCTTTAAGGTCAGGGATTTTCACCCACTAGACCCATGGTTTTTCATATTATGGATTTCCCCACTTAGTTCTTTGACCAGAGATCTTCTATTTCCTCGATCACAGGTTATCGGGCTGCCATATCCCACATTTCGTTTTTCCAGGTACCGTAAGTTTTTACCTCTCCTACCATTTCCCTCTTATTGTATCCCTTTCAGATTAGTCATCCACCTTAACCTGCTGTACTTCCAGATTGGAATGTGAATGTGGTTCTTCACTCCATCACTTTGCTTCACTTTAAACCTCTGTCCTCGTGCTCAATTTTCCACTTATCCCTTAAAACTTACTTCCTTCTCCTCTTTGTCTGTGGACAATGTAGGTGGGATTTATTTGCCATCGACGTTTCACATACCTATATCTTTCCTCCCCAAAATTTAAGCGGCCTGTGAAGGTACTTCCTCCTTCTCACTGATTTCCCTTCTTTCCATTTCCCATCTGTATCCTCTGTAAGATCCAGATAGGTTACTATGTCCTGTCTGTGCTCTTTATTATTACGTTGGCCATGTGGCTTTCATGCTTGGCACCGTTCCCACCTATTCATTCCTTGGCAGACATCCTCTGTTCATGACCTTTCTCCTTCCACCCTGATCAATTGGGTATGGCTATTAATTCAGTTCGCTTATTCTTCCTTATTGTCTTCTTTCCGTGCTTTGTTCCAAGTGTCTTCTCATCAAATCAGGCACCTTACCTTTTCCTTGGTGTCTCATCTTTGTCATTCCTTGGAGAAAAATCTTCATTCGGGCACGTGGACTACTCCATATACGTTCATATCTAACTATTTGCATCAGATCACTGTATCTTCATCTTCGGGTTATTGTCTTCTGCAGACTTTGGTGAGACTGTGACTGGGTAAGTTATTTTTTATCTCTTCTTTTTCAGGGGCTTTTTGCCCCTTTTTTACACTGTCTGGATCCCACTCTGTGGCAAGTGGTGCCTTACCAGGCATATTTAAAAAATAAATAAATCTGCACTGTAAGGCTATGATGAATTAACAATTATAATTTGTATGGCCACTAAACAAACACTGCTCAGATGAGGTGTTCCACAAAATCGCTTGTAAGTTTGTCCTCATGATATATTTGCTTCATTAATATGCCTGTCCTGAACTGTATTCACCCATGGACTTCATGGGTAAAGCAGAAGGAGGTAGCTGCCCATACCTGCCATGCCTTAGATTGAATAAATCAGCTTCAAAATACTGTTTTCGTGGTCAGCTGTTGCACTGTCTCAGGTGTTGTAGTCTTTCCACTCTACACCAAAATTTCTCCCCTTTTTTTGTTCCAGTGGATTATTTGGATTAAATTTGTAAAATGTGAGGTGTTTTAGGTATCTTATTTTGCAAAAATAATCTTTTTTACTTGAATTTTATAAAACTATA